GACGCAGGAAAGGTAAAGCAGCCATCGCTTTGACTAGCAGACGTAAAGCAGACGACGTTAACTGCGCCAACCCGCCGACGCCGTTAAAGAGTGAGGGGTCTCGCCGCACACGAAAGGAGGGAAAAAGTATTTGGGAGGGAACTTGCGGACACTAACACGTTCACTCTCGGTTCTAAGCAAACAAACCTCGGCGCCCCGGGACACTTCGCCAGTGAGTCCTTTGACTTCCCTCCTTGATGCGCGTCTGCTAGTTTTAGACAAAAACAACGTACCGCTCGAGTTATTTCGTCTGCCCTCTCTTAAAGGCGAAGTCGAGTTCGCTCCGAAAGTCGCAGGAAAGGTAAGACATGCGCAGACGACGTTGCGAGCAGACGACGCTGAGAAAGGGGGTCGCGATCAGCCAATCAGGGCTCGGCGTTCTGACGTCACCGCTACTTCCTTTCTCATGCGCAGAAGACGAAAATGAGCCCACTTGCGAGGCGTATAGTCTCCCCGATCGCAAAGGAGCAAAGTATAGTTGATGGATTTCGTGTTCGGTTCCATTGGCTGTCGCGCGTCGAAGGGGCTCCCATTGGCCGCTGCGCTCGTCAGTCTCCATAACCACTCACCGCACGGCGCTATGTGTCCATCAACGCACCGTTAACATGGAGCGTCCAAGGTCAGCGTGCCCAGGGGAGCACACGCGCTGACCGACGGCGAAAGGTAGGCAGCAGGCGAAAAAGGAAGCGGGCCAGCGGCTTGCATGCTTTCACATTCAAAACTCATAAGAAGTGCTTAGGTGTACCTCGAGCATTAATTCCGGTAATGTAAGTGTTGAAACTTTGGCATCTTGCTCGAACGGCTGGGGCTACATTCTGACGGAGCTTGAGCTTTTTGTGATGTCTAGCTTACCTTTCCAAAGCGAAAGAAAGGGTTCGGTTTTCTCGCAGACACCCTGTACAGGTGGCTTGCACGTTGATGTGTACTGTTCAAGACGGCATACTTCTATCTGTGTCCAGGTTAACGAATTTATAGCACGTGACCGTACTTTACACCGACAACCCATAATGAACCTTCTTAGGTGCTGTAGCGGCCTTATACATACATCGGGAAATAATGAACTGCAAAACAGAACTTCTTATAACAAAAATCAGAAACGCTCTATGCCACAAAAAAACAAACAAAAAAAAGCTTGCGCTTTTTTTTTCCCAATATTTATTTCCTTTAAGGCAAATATTCTTCGAGTGTATTTCTTAGTAATATACGCGAGGTACTAACGCTAACATGTTGTTTAATAAGGTAGTAAATGGCTCGCACCACTACTTACGATAAGGTTAAATTTACAAAAGTACAACGCGAGCATGGGCACTGAGCGCAGGAAGTTACTTCGTTCCTCATATCGTTCATTTTGCGTACACAGTGCTCACTGTCACACAGCTTGTTTATAAAATTTTTCTCGCGTATGTCGGCACAAATGCCCCTCTAGTTTTAACTGGTTCCCTTCACGGACCGCCGCGTATGTATACCCGCCGGCGATATGAAGGTGAACACTTTACCTGGCTTCTTGCCTGTTTTACGGCTCCCTAAAGCTATATTAACTCTCAACGTCTCAAGTGGTACGTGGCTTGGGTCTTAACTTTGCGTTCTAGCCCTCTTCTGTAACAGAGTTTGTTCCAAAACTTGCAGGAGCGTAAAAAACAAGAAGATGGCTGTTCACTTTCATATCGCTCACGGGTGTACACTGAAACTCATCGCTGACTGACAGTTGACTACAACACTTCTTATGAAACGTGCACTGCACGACACCGGCTAAGTTCAAGCACGACAACGGCGTATGACGATAATAATTCCTGGAGAAGGGGAACAAGAGGGACGAAGGACAAACTGAAATATCCAAACACAGCTTGTTGACTGGTGCGCCACCAAAAAAATCCACTTTGTCCTGGTATTGAACCACGGTCCTCTCCACTTTTATTAGAGCGCTCTACCTGCTTTTATTCGTAGAGTGTTTCAATTCTTGTCCAGCTCGCTTGCACATTTCCAGTAATTGCATTATCTTCATAACAGCGTAACCTTTTCTTTTTTTTTTTTTTTTTATACAAGGCACTGACGGGCATCAATCTTTACAGCTCGTGAGCAGTTTCCAACCAGCAAGTAGATTGCCTCGAAGCTCATTCATTCGAAATCAGAAAGACAAAAATTCGGCGATCGCTTGATTGGTGCTAACAGTGTCGTGCTATATAACCAAAACATAATCGAGAGTTTTTATTTTTGCACACATTATATAGTATTTATACTTATAAGCTAATTCTTAGTATACGGAGAACAAGAGGCATCAGTGTTGTCCTCAAAACAAGCGAATGAAAGTTAACCTGAAATGATCCTTCAAGGTGCGACCTGAAACAAATGACAACTGGACTAACATTAAAGACACATCTGTCGTTGTCACGTGCAGTTTTATACGGAACGGCGCTTCAGTTGAATGACGTTCCCGGAGCTCGTTCTTTTTGGGAAGAACGAAGAAACGCCGCATGTCCCTCTTGCGTCGGTGGGACTGGAACTGGAACTCGTGACGTTTGTGAGGAAGCGGTAGCACCGACGGCGCTGTTTTGTGTATTTATCGGCAAATTCATCCATATTTGGCTGGCATTTAGAGTATTTATTATCGTCTGCGTCAGCCTCCAATTTCAAACGATTATGAGATGTCCGAGAGATAATTAAGGACAAAAAACGGGAATCAGTGGCGTCACTAGGGTCAGCGGGCCCGCCGCGGCCCCACCTCTCCATCCCCCCCCCCCCCCCCCCCCCCCGCTTTCGTGGCCCGCCGCGACAACACCCTTCCCCCCCCCCCCCCCCCTTCCGCTCTTGTGTTCTGCCGCGACCTCCCTCCATCCCTCTCACTGCCCAGATGCACCCCTCTGAACATTGCATCCGAGCCAGTCCGCCCCCTACACCCCCCCCCCCCCCCCCCGGCCCGCCCAGCCCTTGTGGTGCCACTGACGGGACCAAGTCTGATCGTGGCGACTCGACACATAGTTTGATGTGTCTTTCACTTGCTCGCTTTTTCATGCGGAAGCATTGCTTACCCTATGGAGCGAACCGGCGTTAGCAGCTTTTGAATTCTCACCAAACGGAACCTAAATTCCCCTGTCCCAATGGAGCGAAACCTGTCGTCTGTAGCAGCGATTTGATGAATAGGTTCCCATTGGCTGGCGCGTGTCATAGTTTCAAGGGACGAGGCTGCTATTGGCTGGCGCGCGTCATAGTTTCAAGGGACGCCACCCCATGGCGCAGCGGGCCCCGCGCCGGTAAAAGGAACACGGTGGCGCGCGCTCGGCTGCTTCAGCTCCTCTCGACGCCGACGAACATGGCGGCGCCTCAAGCATCTCCATCGTCGGTGGCCGCACCGTCGGCAGTAGCTAAACCTGACCGTCCACGCAAGTACACCGCAGACGAACTAAGGGAGCGGAATAACACAGCACAACAGGCGAAGAGGCAGGCAGCGAAATCCACCATCGTTGTCAAGTCTCCGACTTCACAGCGGGCAGAACGAGCAGCGGCGTAACGCGCTAGGAGACAGAAGAAAGCATATCGAAAGCGTGAGGCGCAAGTGGATCGCGATTCAGGGCGTCTCAGGAGGCAAGAGGACGAGGCCCTTCGACAACGCGAGGTGGAAGCAACACGTCGCATGCGGCATGCTTTCACATTCATAACTTATAAGAAATGCTTAGGTGTCCTCAGAATTTTTTATCTCGCGATTATCCAGCGCAAAATTTCCCTAAAATACGATAGATTAACGGTAATGCAACGACACTTTCAATCTTAGAAAACTAAGAGGACCGTGTCCCTTTCCAACCACTAGAACTTGTAACGTGAACTCATTCGAAGGTTCAGAAGGAACGAGGAACGTGCTTTCGATTCTGATCTGATGGAACGTGACCAACACTGGTCTGATGGGACGATACCTTCCCGGTCTGAAGCTCTAAATGAAATTCAAACTCATTTTTTGGAAACTCATTCTTTTGGGGACACGGAGGATGGGCTTTTAACAGGAAGGTTTTCTGTGCTCCACAAAACGAACCTTTGAAACTTGTCACAGTTAGCAGCAAAAAATATGAACCCGAACCCTGAATTTTTTAGCGCAGATAAATATAATGTATATTAAATGCTGGACGAGTGCACTTGAAATCGCGATTAATCATTGGAGCCAGCATTTTCAGACTCTAATTCTCTTCATGTGCCAATACGTAACCGTTCACTTTCCGAGCTGTTTAAAAGGGTGATGCAAACATATTTATGTTTTCAATAAATACAAATTAGAATTATTCATTGGCATTTATGACCTATGAAACACGCCTAGCTTTTTTTTATGTATACAATGGCAGTCGCAGAAAAAATTGGAGAAAAACTATGACCGCTTACTCCCTCAACTCGCAGTATGCCACCGATGCTTTTAAGACAGCCACGCTTGGGGTTGGCAGAGCACAGAGTGCGAGTTGAGTTCCACGGACTGTTAAGGTTCAGCTATTCGCGTCATTCCAGCGATTCGATTCGAGCCACTTCCCGAATGCATGTCGGGGCATTGATTGCCACGAGCCAAAATTGAATGCATACGCATTCTTCGTGTCCATTGCATGAGCAGAATCTAGATATCGTCACAGCGCGTACCGCAGAACTTGATGACGCACTCCTCGGGATCGTATTGTTCGCGTTTTCCCGACAGCTGCGTCATCAAATTTTGCGAAGGAGAAAATGAAATAAAAGGTATCTCTTATCATTGGAATTGCACCGCGACAAAGACGTTTTTTGGTCAGTGGCGTTCTGTTCGGGTATGTTTGGGTCCAACTAGTGCAAGTAAGCTGGTGTAAAGTGAGAAACGTTCCTACTCAATATAGGTTTCGCAGCCACTTTAAGTACCAGCATACGCACTACCACGCATCGCTCCGCCAAGGATAACCTGTTGAAATACGTTTTTCATGGGAAATTGCCAAGTGAGAAAATATACGAATTTTCTTTTGCAGACGCTCCTGTCTGCGTCGAGGGCCTGACTCGGGAATACGCCGCCTCCGCGGACATACGGGTCCTGGTGGCGTGTGAAGTGAACGCCTCCCCCGGCGACGTTCATTTCGAGTGGGTTGCCAACACGACGTTGCGCACGGGCAGGATCAGCAGCTTCACGGCGAACGGCACGAAATCCTACGCCAGTACCGTGACCGGCACCGAACTCGAGTACGGCATTCTCCTGTGCTTCGCCTCCAACAACGTCGGGAAGCAAATCGAACCATGCACCTTCCGCATTGTACCTCCGGGTGAGTTACCGGCAGGGGACCTCATGCGCAATGGCGAACGAGGGAAGCCGACTTCAGTCGCAGTTTCAGTTATGGGTATCTGGGCTTGAAAGTGAATAGCGCAGGAAACAGAAGAATACTGAGAAAATAAGCTAGACAGTGCACGGAATGTCACTGCATTCTCGATTAGAAATGCATGTTATAAAAACATTGCCATTCTTGTGTTGGGCTGTAATTGTTAAGTGAATTGTGACAGCGATCTATTACGATTCTCTTAATTCTGCTTCAATGTGGTGCCCAAAATATCCAGAATTGCCTGCAATTTTGTTGCTACGTCAAATGTTCTTGGTTTAGCGCTATTAACCTCCAGGCATTTCTTCTCGAGCTGTGGCTCCAGGCCTCTCCAGTACCCTCCACACCATTGACTCCACCCACTCCTCTCCACCTCATTGACTCATTGACTTTCCCCGTCGGGTCGTCCTGTGTCCACAGAGTATGGGGAACGGCTGGTAGCGGGTAAGCGGAATTTATCTGAAGGTCACGTGACGTCAATTTTCCCGCTATATCTAGGGGGGAACTGAATTCCGTATAGGTCACGTGACATCATGTTACGTGAAGTCAAATCTTCCGCCGCCAAATTTCGCGGAGAAATTGAATTTGTGCATAGGTCACGTGACATGAAGTCATGTGAGCTCATTTTTCAGGCCAAAAATTATTCAGCTTTAAAACCGCATTCGTGTTAAGGTTACGTGACGTCAAATGTCCCGCTAAATCTAGCGAGAAAACCGAATTTGTGCAAAGGTCACGTGACACAAACTCATGTTCGTTATTTTTTACCCGATAAATTTAGCGAGGAAACTGAATTAGTGTTGAGGTCACGAGACCTCAATTTTCCCACTAAGTATAAAGGGTTAAACTGAATTTTCGTGTAGGTCATGTGACCATTTCATGTAACGCTAATTTTTCCGCTAAATGTAGCCGGAAAACTGGTGTTGTGTATTGGTCACCACGACATGAAGCCGTGTGACGTCAATTTTCCTGCTAAATTTAGCGGGGAAATTTTCGGTTGCGCTTTTTGAGGCTTCACTTCCTCTGAAAACCTAGCTTATAAACGTTTCAAGCTAAAAAGTGACACTGATCTTAAAGACACCGGCCCTCTGGCTCCGCCAAAGCTGAATAATAATAGGACTGGTTGTAATAGCTCCGGGTTACAATAAGAATTAGTTACTTTTCTTTCATTCGCACTGCATACCGAAAACATTGGCCGACATGTTTCACAAGATTAAACTGCTTTGAATTTTAAAAGTTTCAGATATCTCGTAGACATCAATGGAGGAACAATTTTTGAAGTGGCTACTCCGTAAACTGACTTCGTCTTGACCATTTTCGAGCACAGGTCCACCGGGAAGCCCCGAAAATTGCACCGTGGTCAACCTGAGTCCTGACAGCGTCCTACTGAAATGCTCAGCGGGTTCCAGTGGTGGCTTGCAGCCGGTCTTTCAAGCCGAGGTGTTCAGCGTTCATGCTGACCTTCTTCACAACAACATTAGCTCCTCTCGGCAGCCACACTTCAAGTTAAGTGGCCTCCACAAGGACACGTCCTTTGTGGCCCTCGTCTACGCGGCCAATGCCAAGGGCCGCAGCTCTCCCGTCACCGTTCGCTTCGCAACGGGTGTACTGAACAGCTTCCCTTCGGCAACAGGTGAGCACTGGGAGACGAGTTGTTTCGTTATACTGATAAACATGAACATGGTAGCTCAAACATACGTTAGGAGTGTTTGTAAGGGAGATCATGTAATGAGAAAAGGTGAAGTGGCAAGCTTCTGAACTGTTGTTTAACTTCCCGACGCTCCGCGTGCCTTACAATTAAGCGCTCCCTGCACTGAATGCACACGCACACGTGACGTAGGCAACCTTCAGTATAACATCTCGCTAACACTTTGAACGCAATTACCTAATTGGAGAGACGAAGCCCCAAGGCATCTGTATCGCTACTAATAAAGTGCCGTTTGTAAGAACTTGTGGAGTCACGAGATAACATGGTGGCATCCGGGTCAATATACGGATTGCGGAGCACTGTCGAAAATTCTCTCTGGGAATGGCAACACAGAGGCTCAACAAATGAATGTGGTCCTACCTCTTTTTTAATAATTCGCTTTTCTATGTATATATTATAAACGGGAAAACCCAACAAACCCAAGACAAATATTCCAAAATCCGCTCTTCGTACGCTTTCACTACTTCCTCCATGATATGTAGGTCTCATATTCCTTATCCGCTGTAGATTTCGTAGCACAAAAGTTACTGCTTGAATACCGCATGCAGTTCCCAAACCGACTTTACCGGCTCAATGCTCTGCATCACGGTCGGTACAGTGCGGAAGCATGCCTTACCCTCAAAACTAATTAGTACGTGATAATCAGTGCGGTCTATACAGGTTTTTTTTTTTTTCTTTAGCTGCACCAAATTTTCAAAAAAAAAGGGAACGTGAGATAGAGTAATTTGAGCCCTGGGGAAGTGTTGGTGGCCATGGCGGCCTCTAGAAATCAGGTAATTAGTTCTCTAATTAACTAAAATCTTTTAACTAACTTTTAAAATTTTCACTTGAGGACTCACAATGTATTCAGAGGATTGAAGATCGACCACAGTATGGTTTCGCCGTGTCGTCAAATTTAGATAAAAAAATTCCTAGTAGGCGTTGCGGGGTCGAGAAATGTCACTTTGGTAAATGGCGTCAAACCGAAACTAATCACAGGAAAAAGCGCAGGAAAAGTTATCGCTCCGCCCTTCCGGGCATGCGATTCCTCATTATCACGACCGGCTCACCTAAGCAAGGGGAGCCGGCCGCGATAATGAGTTGGCTCATTCCCTCGTTTCGTAGCTGAATCGGTTAGACTGAAGTCCCCCATAAAGTGATGTTTGTCTGCCGTTGTTTTTTTCTTTTTAATTAAACTCTGTTCACGAAATTATTAAAACATATCGTTGCATCAACTGTATCTTTTTATAATCAGAACCTGGAATCAAATGTGTAAGGTCTCAATTATGATTTTCTGAAGCCACTATGTCTGGACGGCTTTAAAGCCGAATCTTGTATATGCGTGGGAGAATTAGGTAGACATGACCACTTCTTGGAACGCGCTGCATCTTTATGAAGATGTGTGTTTCCAAGTCATCTCGGAGTGTGACACAAAAAACGTTTACTATTAGGTAAAATAATTGGTACGATTGCGTCGATATCTCGTTTTCATTCCTAAGTGTTCGAAACCCTGGTTTAGCTTTCTTTTTCACAAAGATTGATCTTTCTGAGACTAAGGGAGACAAAGAATAAGTGAGAACGTGGAAAGTGATAGCTGTCTTTAACTCTGTGTTACGTTTACCAAATTCCAGAAGGCCAAGAACACACGATATAATCGATGGTTGCTGGCTGTTACAACCAGAATAAAATTTACATATTGTGGCTCTTGTCGCATCAAATGCGTCGTCTAGAATCGGGAACAGGGTGACACTTCTTTCTCCCTAGCGTATTTTCTATTTAAAAGTGCACTAGACTAACCGCAAAAATTGTTTTAAGTGTCAGAATAGGACATCTGTGTCACAAAATAAACTTCATAAAAAAAAAAAATTACCGCAATACACACCTCGAAAGACATTTTTTATTTTTTATTTAGGAGCAATTCCGAAGCATTCTTTAGTTCGCATACGTCTACGATAAATATAAGCAGGGTTCGCAATGGCTTCTAAGATGCTAAACTACTTAAAAAAAATCATTTTTAAGTGCCGGTTCATTTTACGTGTGTCGTAAATTAACATTTTTCAAACGAAAAAGTTTAGCTCAACATTGGCGTCACGGGACCCATTTTTTGCGGGTGTAAGTCTGAAAAGTGCTACAGTTTCAAGATTTACGCCGATATAGAAGCATGTTTCGGTACGGCTCAAATGTATCTTGCGACCAGACTTGTACGGCACTCAGTAGAAGTAATAAAATTACTTGCAATTAATTACTCTTCGAATAATTTTGTAATCACTTGGCTACATTTATTGGGAAGCAATCACCAGAGTAACTTGGTTACTTTCGGAAGTACTGAAATTACTTTAAACCTTTCCGATTATCCCCTCCCATCTCTAACAGCGCCCTTTGTTCCTACAAGATTTCTACCAAGGAAATCTCGAACCAAGTTTCCGCGACAAAAAGTAATTGTCTACTCAACTTGACGAGGATTCTAACCCAATAATTTGTTTGGTTCTTTAAGACGTATTTTAATGATTTTTCCACCACCTTGAATTTACGTCATTTGTGGGGAAGATGAGGGGTGAGAGATAGGGAATACGATGAGGATGAAATCTTTAAAAATAGTGCCAAATACCGGCTTCTCGAATGAGCTTAAGCAGAGAGTCCAGCACGATCTTTCTGTGCTGCATGTCTCCCGCTGGTCGCGTGAACTCTACGAAAGTTTTGGTTCGATGGCAATTTCCAATAATGGAAATTCCAAAAGCCCCGTTTTTAAACCGGCAGAAAACCACCGTTTTTAAAATCTCAAGTAATCGGAGAAGTAACGGTCAATTTCTTTTCTTTTCGAATAATCAAGCAATCTAGCGAGATGTTTTTTTAAACAATAGTAATTGTAATTGTAATCAATTACTTCTTTCGAACAAGCATGGCAAATTTGATGGCGAGGTATTCACTCCGTAAATATTGCGTAAATTTGGGCGAAAGCCGATTTTATGGCACAAGTGATTCATACATGCACTAAAAATGTTTATTTCCTACAGTTAAGTGTTCCGTTAAAACGGCCACTGTTCCCCTTTAGGTCAGTGCACAGTGCGGCCATTGTTGGTATTGATTGTTCGTTTTAGAGCGCAGCTCTTAGGGGTCCGTTTCCAGCCTGAGCGGCGTCGGCGTAACCGGGGGGGGGGTCACGTGACCCCCGAGGTCACGTGACCCCCCCCCCCTCCCCCCGAGGTCACGTGACCCCCCAGGTCACGCGATTCCCCCCCCCCCCCCCCCCCGAGGTCACGCGACCCCCCTCAGTACCCTTCCCTACTCCTCCTCAAGAGCTGCGCTCCAATTCGGCGTTACAGGGATTTGTAAACGGCTTTAATTTTTTGTTTTACTTTGTTTCTATTTTAAGGCTTTGGTTTCGTTTTCTAGCGATGAATTAATCCATTCAATTTAGCCCCTGTTTACACGTTTACGTATAATTTACTGGTAAGTCCATGCGGCTGATGCGTAAGTTCGAGACAGAATTTTGTCAATTATATATATATTTATAATATAACACGTATATTATGTATCTCAAACTTTCACCAAGTCACAAAAAATAATGTTTACACAGGCTGCACATGCAGATACTTCTGCTCCGTTCTCTGCCTAAAATCTATACAGTTCTAATTATACAATTACTGAGTATATTGCAGACTTTCGTTTGATCAAAATAAAATCAACGCCCGCGAGATGGAATATGGGTTTATTTCAACAACAAAATAAAGAGCCTCGTAAGCATCTCTCGAGAGTCGAAGCTCCTAAGCATTCCATAATATCAGTTCCACCCTTCATTAAAACGCAGGATATAATTTTACATAAGTTAGCCATTCCCCCTCCCCCCCAAGGAAAAAGAAAAAAAAAGAAACAAAAAGAAAAAAGAATATACACCTACATAAATATGCATAAATTCTTCGTGTCACCTTCATTATCTCCTTTAGGCAATCGTTCGATATGTTTAATATCAGGACTAATAATTTTAATGAAATTCGCACAGCCTGTGTGCACACACGCATCACGAACAGGTCTGATTAGATATACAAGGGGCTTTTCCCTTGTTTTTGCTTCGGCTTTTCGTGTGCTTCTGTTTCTTTTTAATTGTTTGTTACCGGTTTAAAGATGGCTTCGAACATAAAGTGTGGCATTTTTTAGGGACTAGCTATTCCTAAATGTATATGGCTGTGCAGCATTCAGTTCCTGAAGTTTCGATAAAGTTCACGGCATTTTCAGCAACAGATGATTTCAACACCAACTGCAGTGCTTTTAGAGCTCGAGAACACAGCTCAAATTATAATATTTGCTAACTGCAGTATTCAAAACCAGTATAATTACAGTTACGCTTGCACGAAAAAATCATCAGTGTATTTAAATTTTAAAAAAAGCGGGCGTGTTCGCGGTTATGATAACCTGGAAGCGACGTCCGCCATTAAATGTTCGCTACCCAGGCTTACGAGTTTTAATAATAATATTATAATGCACTCAGAAAATATTTGCTGTATCCTAAAACATCCAAAAAGACCTCCGTCTTTTTTCCCATAAAGCACAAAACAAAGTTCAACGTAAGGAAAAAAAATATGAGAAGTAATGGGTAATGCAACCTTTCTGAAAAAAAGGGAGACGTGACATTCGCAGGATACTCTAAACCTGCTGTTCCCTACAAACTACATTTTATCCTGAAAACATTGCAAAAAAAAATAATAAATAAATAAATAAGTAGAGCGAAAGAATTCCTGATGTTGCAATATCATATTCCATTTAACCTCGCAGTTTATTTGTTGTTCTGTTCTGGAAGGGACAACACCAAAATACTAAGCCAGAGCTCGACGCGACCACACGAAATTATTTTTCTTTCGTTCTGCGTCCTTTTTGAAAATGTTATTTTTCTACACAGTCTCGTATCATTATTTTTGTTTTACGAACCGACTTATGGAAAGTATCTTGTT